GACCCAGCCAAATTGAGACATTAAATGAGTGGACATCTTTTATAATAAAATAAAAAGGCATTTCCTTCAGAGAGAAGAACAAATAGCAAGTACTTAACTTTTATGGAACCTTAAAATATGTTTGGGGTTGCTGCTGAAATTGAAGCTGGAAAAGTAGAATGGTGATTTATGAGCCTTTCCAAGATGTTTGAATAGACAACAGACAGCCTTTAATGAACTTTAAAGAAATGAATGACATTATAAGTGTACTGTCAGACTGAGTTGTAAACATGGAGTCTCATTGAAGATGGAAGATAGAAAAGTAAGAGATGGAAGATATCTATCCCTTATGAAATAATTTTAAAGAAAGATGATAAGGGCTGGAATTAGGCATTGGCAGTAGTATTTTGGGAGGGGATGGAAAATATAAACACAATGCTCATCCTGAAATGATGTATTATTAAAGAAAAATGAAACAAGGGTACCATTCACAAAAATTGGCATAAAAGATATGGGGGCACATGAGAAAATTTATTCATTTTTACACCATGAGTTTTGATCTCTAAATATTTTAGCTATGTTTGCCTATTTCTAGATTCTGATTCCAACAAGGGGTCATTTATAGTGAATAGAATTTAGGAATCATATACATATATTCTTATATTTATTAAATTCTACTTCTCCCGTAAAGTCTGCTATCTGAATTATTGTTTTAGTATCTGTAGTAGTTACATAATCTGGTGCCAAGTTGAAACTATTAAGAGTGAAGGGGTAGAGTTTAGCCTGTCAATCAGTTTTCAGCTTGATGACCTCTTTGGAGGCACTACGGAGATAAATAGCTCACAGGAGGTGGAACACACACACTTTCTGTTAGACGTCCCTGAGGACAAGCCACATGGAGTTATGTTGATGAAACTGGAGTCCTGGAGCTGGAGGAGGCACGTGGAGACCCACGCCAGCACTGAGAGCCTTCCACTGCCACTGGATCTACAAGACTTTTCACCCACTGACCTTTGATCTTCCTGCATTCAGCATTATTGCATACGTGAGTCTAAAGAGGAATTTATGAACTAGTATTGGACATGCGGGCTAATATTGAATTTATGGACTTAATCTGGTCTGGGATGTTTCTCAATATGCAGTTGCTCTTTTATATAAAGCTCTTTCCTACACACATATGAGTGTCTATGAATTTGTTTCTCTGGTCAACCTGCACTAACAGCTGAAGCAAGATAATCTATATTTGCTCATGCATTTCTGTTAGTGGGAAGATAGCCCAAACGGAGAGACTTATTTTCAATTATAGAGAACTGACTTAATTAGGAAAAAAATTATATAAAATCTGTGCTAAAAAGAAAAAGGAGCAAAAATACATTAACAAATGAATACAATTCAATGAGTGATCCAATTTCATGACTGTCAAATTTCACCCATTTATCAATATGTTTCTAAAGATTTATTTCCTTCCATGCATTCTATTTTTTTTTGGTCTGCTTCAGTTTTATTCCTTCATTAAGAATTCCACTTCATAGAAAGAAAATGTCCTGAAAATGATGAAGGCAACAAATGTACAAATGTGCTTGACATAGATCGTGGCAAGAGCTGCATCTGCCCCCAAGAAAATGATCAAAACAAACAAAGAAACAAAAAGCTTTCTACATCCTTATAGGGTCACTGGAAAGGAGAAATAGAAATAATATACCCCAATCCAAAATAAAGGCGACCACAGAAATACTAAGTTATGACAACCCTTTCAGTGGTGTCCTGAGGATGTGGGCCGCTTCTCCTGGAGGAGGACCAGTCTGGCCCTTGGTGCAGGCTGTACTGTGGACCTTCCCACTAGAGAGGAAAGGCGGGGCTCCTCACCCCATTGCCTTGAAGGTCACATACCACAGCTCTCCCATCTTGGCCTGGGAAGGGCGCTGGTGGCCTAGAAAGATTCACATCCCTGGCTGTAAGCTTTGGCCCCAGGGTCTCCGTGATTACTTTTGCCCTCTTGGTTTCACTGCTGGGTTGGTTTGGAAGCAGGGGTTCTGGTGGGTGGGTGGGGGCACCCCTGCACCGGTGAGGATGAACTTGCTGGTTCCCCTCTTGCCACTCTCTTTTCCTTTGGCGGTCAGAGCCGTGATGATGCTCTGGATGTTGGCATAGTTGGGGAGGGCCACCACTTGGGTGTTGGGCATGGTGGGGTCGTTCAGAGCTACACTCTGCCGCTTCCTGGGAGGCCTGGGTTGCCGGGGTTCCTGTTGGGCAGAGGACCGCGGAGGTTCGTCCTCTGATATGTCACCTGGGGCATTTTGAACCTTCTCTTGAGAATCAGTGGCCGTTGGGGGCTCGTTTTTCATTATGAATCTGTGCATTCACTCTCCATTGAGAATCACAAGCACTGACCCTCCTGACTGCAGCCACCGCCAGCTCTGATTGGGCCCCTAGGGCGGGCTCCAGGCTCCTCCAATATGGGGGCTGGGCCAGGGTGCAGGACAGGGACCAGCCGGGTTCCTGAAGGTGCAGTAGGGGTGGGGAATCCCCGGGGACCCCCGGAGGGGAGGTGTCCCAGGCCGGAGGCCCTGGTGGGATCCTCCACCGGAGCTTTCAGTTTGTTCTGCTGTTTGAAGTTAGCGCCGCGGCACATGCGTTCTTTCTTTCTAGTTTTAAAAACATCTGACAGTCTCTGTCAGAATAGGCCCTTATCTCATTTTCCAAAATAGTTCTTTCTGTTAAAAAAAATTCAGAAATGTCCTTAGTGTTTGGTCTTTTGAATGCTATGATTCAAATTCTTGGGAACCCAAAGTTTTGGTTTTAGCCCTCAAAAGTCTTGGTGTTTTCCAAATTTTAAAACTGCATTTTTGTTGAATCTCTTCTATTATTAGACCAGGAATGAGTTGTGTAAGAGGGGGAAATTACTCACTTACTTAATATACTAAAACATATTCCTTATAATGAATTATATTCCCATGCTTACGAAACCTCTTAGGTACCTGTTCTTGTTTTTTTAATATTTAGAGAAAAAATATTAATTTATTTCTTAGACACAAGAAAGATACTCTTGATAGGAACAAAAACCCTAGTCAACTGAACGTTTAATCAGTGAAAACTTATTTAGAATGTTATAGAATTCTGACATTTTGTAACCAAAAGAAAAGTAATTAGTATTACTGTGGTATCAACACCAGCAGCTAGTAAGGGTGTTTTAGAGAGGAAACATTAGAAAGTGTGGGAGTATGTATGTGTGTGTGTGTGTGTGTATCTGTGTATTATCCACTATTTCTTGAATCTCTACAAATTTATAATCCACGGAGTGAAAATTCATCAAAAGAACAAATTCAGCACTTTCAGTATTATTTAGAAAAAGGTAATGTACTTTTCCTTGGTTGTTAGAAAATGTCACAATACCTAGGAAAATAAAACAAAAACAGGTACTTAAACCAAGCTAGCTGTTGGGCGTTGACTGAGACTCACTGTGTCAGCTTTCCTGTAAGAGCAGACCTGTCACTCCACAGGGTTTCCAGTGACACGTTTTTAAACTAGATCATCAAGCTTTTCTTCCAAGAAACATCAGGAAGCAATCAAACCTCCACTGGTAGGGAGTACGTTCATGGTTGAAACCACCTAGCGAGTCCAAAACAAGGACAGAAAACAACAACAGTTGCTCTGTAAATATTACACGTGGCAATCAATAGCGTGTACACTGGCGTCTCTATGGACTGGGGGTATTCATTGTGTTCTTTGTTTTTTCTACAGAGAGTTTATCAACAGCCTTCGGTTGTTCTCGACTTTCTATGGAGGCCTAGCAGATCAGCTTTGTGTTAATGAAGTAGCGGCCGCTGACGGACTACCGTGCTGGAATGGAGAAGGTGTTGTAAAAAGGTATTTCATGTTTGGCTCTCGGGAAAATACAGTGATGGCTTACACTCTTCATTTTTAGATTGTCTTCCTGAATCATAAGTAGATTACTTCAGTTTAACGAGGCCATAGGGATTAAAGGATACGCTACTTCAAATCCCTTTCTTTAGTTTTTTTTAAGGATTTAAAAATATAATAATATTCTTTGATGTTTTTTGGTCATTACTACTTGATTTACCCAAGAATCCTAATTTTTAAAGTTATGCATCAGTACCTCCTATCTAATCTGCCTTTAAAAAAATCAAATATTTTATTTTTATTGTAACTCTGTGAGCACCTGAATTTAAAAAGTTAGGACATTTAGTTAAATGGGAATGTCTACGGAAAGATTCATTGCTATATGGATATGTGTCTCAGCAGTTCTAGCTTATAGTAATGTGTATGTGTCATATCTTTATAACACAAAAAATAAGCTTATGATACTTATTTTATGATTTGAATATTTGGATATTATCCGTTGTCCTCCATCAAATTTAACTTTTAACCTTTTCTCTCATTATTTCTTTTCTGTGTTTCCTGTAACTGGTTGTACTTTCAAGTATTCTCGTTTGTTACAGAAAGTCTTAAATTATTCTTGTAATATATAACAATATTGGTCAGAGATTAGTCTCTTGAGTTGCTGATCTTGGAGACTATTGCAGAATGTAGGAAAAGGAGGGCTTGTTTTATGTTTGGATAAGTATACTGTATTTGGAGCTCTTTGGAAAAAACCCCAGAGAAATTATTAATATTTCTTACTAATATATGCACCTACTCTACATTAAGAGAAATCATTTAGTTGACCAGAGGAATGATGACTTCTTTTATTTCTTTATTGGGGGAAAATCTATCTGTGATGATAGACACAGATTATTATTATTTTAAAATATATTGCTGTGTCCTGGCTCATTCATTCCAACTTTTAGTGACTTGGCAGCATATTGTCAAACGGCACTATGGGTTTCCTAAGCTGCCGTCTTTACTCGAGATTACAGGTGTTTTCTCCCATTGATTTCCTGGTGACTTTGAACTGCAGATCTTTTAGTTCGTAGCTGAGTAATCATTGTGCCACCAGGGCTCCTAATTTAAAATATGAAAGTATATAATAAAAATGATTTATATGTTTTCTGATCATTATGAACTCTGATGGCACAGTGGTTAAATTCTGGACTGTTAATCTAAAAGTCAGTGGCTCGAGCCACCAGCAGAGCAGCTGGCACTCTATTAACTATTTGTGTTTGTTTTGTAATAGAAAGGGTTTTGGGTTAAATCAGTGATATGAGAAAACCTATTTTGATAAGTAGCGTTTTCAATTTAAAGGGTATATTCTGTGCCATATACCACTCCACACTTACCAACTATCTCCTTATCTGATATTTAGCATTTATGACAATAGCAAATAGTACTATTCAACTATTTTGTGTAATTGAGATGCACATCATGCAATAACAAACACTGAGCTACCAGGTAAGAATGACGTGGGTGATAATGCTCAATGTTATGTGTCATGCTTCTCAGTGGTTTGACAGATGGATCATGATGGAATCTGGCAGTTATGTAGTGCTGTAGTCATCCTCCATTTTTAGATCAGATGTGCTCATCCTCCATTTTTGCATAATACTGTTTTTCACATAACGGCCTGGTCTTTGGTATTCATATCTCCTGCACTTGTGCTCGACGAAATGAATGAGTCTCAGTATTCTTATTTCCACCTAGAGTAAGTAGGCCTCCTTCCTACACATTCTCTTCTGCCTATTTGTTAAACCAGCATCGAACCACTTGCTGAAGAGCTGACTCTGGCTCGTGGACGTCTAGCTACCTGTGTCAGAATAAAAGGACACCCCACGGGATTTTGAATGACGGATAATGTTGAAGGAGATCAATAGGACTTTGTTCTGCCGCACCTCTGGTGGTCTCCAAAATGTTGACTCGGCAGCTGAGTGCTTTCCCTTTTGACACCTCTCAGATTCTCCTTCTGTAGTCACTTCCCAGAGCCTTGTGAAATGCCACTCTTCTGGAATAAGTCTCACCTTCTCATAAATTAAATTTTGCCTAAATAGTCATTCTAATTCATCACCTTCACTGAAATATCTTATCCTTTGAGGATATTTCTTCTCTTTCATCCATATTTCATAGATAGCTAAGCTTCCTCCCCTTTCGTTGAATCCTAGAGCCACCAGAGAAACCTCAGACACTTCTGATTTCCTAACATAATCTGGTTGCTCTTCCGCGATGAACATTTTTTCATATCTGTTAATGTTTTCATAGTGAGCTATGGGGTTTCACTCATTGAATTCTCTAAATAACAAAAATTTTTCAATGACAAAAAATTAAAAAAAAAACCAATTAGTTGAGCCATGAATGGAATTTCAATTTAAGTCAAAGATTGGAAAAGGTATGCTGTTGTTAGGTGCCTTTGAATACGTCATGACTCAGAGTTACCCTCTGTCAATAGAATGAAATACTCAAAGCTTGGGGCCGTTTTCGTGGCAATTGGGCCAATTCATCTCCATTTTCACTGCCTCTTTACTTTATCAAGCATGATGTCCTTCTCCAGGGAATATATCTCCCGATAATATGTCCAAAGCATATGCGAATAAGCTTTGCCATTGTTATTTTTAAGGAACGATCTGGGTAGAGACTAGAGAAACATAATTCATAAACACTCAATTTTTAAAGAGAGAGTTTTATATAAAAGGTAAGTGTACATTAAGAAAGCATTTCCACCCAGTCCAGTCAAAAGCCATAAGTCCGACATTAACCCATATGTCCGAGGACACCAATCTACAAAGTCCTCCTAAAATTCGTAAGACACATGCAATAATGCCGAATGCATGAGGAAAGCCGAATCAATGAGCGTGTAAGCATCTCAGTGCTGGCAGGGGTCTCCACAAGGCTTCTCCAGCACCCAGGACTGCAGCAGGGTAGGTCCATGTGGCTTCTCCTCAGGGATGTCTCTCAGGAAGTGGGCCTTGCCAGCTGAGGCAAAGAACTAGCTAGAGAACAAGAGACCAGAGAACAAAAAAGGGCTGGCTCACCAAGTCATTATCTCCCCACCCTTCAATTAATCATGCATGTGTTTATCAGCCAGGTTGGCACAATAAACCTTAACTATCAAAATCCACCCCTTGCCAACTTGTCACCAGTACACAATTCTTTAGCCTAACAATTGCAGTTAAGTAATATCTACACCTTAATCCTATAATCCTATGAATATATTCATAAGATGTAAGCCTATGAAAGTTTGTAAGCCTACCACTTCATGCCTTTGTCCCCCGAATTTTGGGTATCCCATTTCTATACTGTCCACTTACAACAACCTAGTTCTCTGAGAAGACAATAATACTTTTGACATGAAGAGTCTTCATTCCAATTGGAACCTTGTGAAGTCTGCATCCATAAGCAAAGTGAAATCAGAACAGGCCATCCATAATGTCAGCAATGATATGCACCAGTCCATAGGCTCAGAAATCTCTTCATCTGGTCAGGTTCTGGTCAACTCAATGTGGGTTGCCTCATTTAGCCTCCCCAGGGTGCCCAGTGGTCACCTTACATTTAGACCATGGACTCTCATAAATACTCAACAAGCCTAACCCCCTCATGCTAGGTCATGAACTTCAGGCCAGTCAACCTGCTCTCATCCTCTCGTTTTCTTGTAAACCAAGTCCACAGGTGTCAGTGGTCCAACTCAACCCGTCTCCTTATTGCTGCATTTCTCCTGCTTCCACTCAACAAGTGGATCCAGGTGGTCACCTAGCAAGCATTTCAGGTTGCCACCGGCTCTCTTTAACATTCAATCCCAGAACTGAGTTTTCTTCATGGTTCCAGATTTTTTCCAGCTACTGGCACAAATCAGTGGTTCAAAATTCCAAAATCCAGAGATCCTTTTTTCCGTCAATCTGTCAATCATGCCCCCAGGCAAGTCTCTTGGAATGCAAATGACCTGAGTACTTCAATGCATTGGGTGGGGCATATCTTTCCCAAGCTTTCTTGGCCTAAACCTATCTAAAGATCAAATTTTAATGCTGAAAGCAAGTGGGCTTACAAGCTTTCTATTTTCATACTTCCCAATAAACATTTCTGTAAATCATTATGTTGATAATAGGCAGTAAAATCCATATAAACAAATATAGAATCAGATACTATATTAAATTCTTAAAACAGTCACATTTAATCCTTATCTAGCTTGTCTAAATCCTTGTGCAAACTATTCTATTTATACAAAAATATTGGATTAGGTCTCTGAGAGCATTAAATTAGATCCAGGCTTTCTGTCAGGCATTTTGACCTTCTGTCAGCCATTTTCTTTAAGCAGCATGGTTTCTGAGAAAGTCAAATGGCAATTTTTACCCCTGAGCTGAAAGTATACATTAATCACATTCATTTTCACCATTTTAAACAGGAATAACCAAAGACTACAAAATAATCAGAAGTTCAACTTCCCATATTCTTTCCAGAAAACAACCAAGTAAACTGTGGCTTTATCAGACCTCTGGCTAGACAAAGAAGAAAACCTTCTATGAGGGAGAGGTCAAACAAACATCTACTCTTCATCGTTATGATTTGTTTCTCTAGTACCCCACTCCTGGTACCATAATGTGTTAGCCTGGGTAGACTAGAGAAACAAAATTCATAAACACTCATATTTTATGAGAGAGTTTTATATAAAACATAAGTGTACAATAAGAAAGCATCCCAACCTAGTCCAGTCCAAGCCCATAAGTCTGACATTAGCCCATGTCTGCTGACACTGATTTACAAAGACCTCCCCAAACTCGCAAAACACACCCAATAACTCCGAATGCACGAGGAAAGCTGAATCAATGAGCGTGCAAACATCTCAGCAGCCGCACGCTGGTCTGACCATCACAGATAAGAACCAGAGACAAAAGAGGCGAGGCTCACTGAGCCATTTATCTCTCTGCCCTTCAATTAATCCCACGTGTTTATCAGCAAGGTTGGCACAATAAACCTTAACTATCACA